AATTAATGATGTACGATAGAATGAACAACGATTCAGATTTCACAAGATTTTTGCTCATTCATGATGTAATTTCTCCACATATTTTATGGACAGTAGCATTAAAATTCCCTGAACATCTAAGCAAGATAAGCAATATAGTTCGATTATGTGCTAATTTAAGATCAACAAATATTATTGAATTATGCTATTTTTGTGGTATTTTACATAATGACTGTATAACACATACAGTAATCCATTGTACAAAATCTGAAAGTCTTAGAGACGATCTATGGTGTCTTAAAAGTACGGCTTTTGATATAGAACTTGGCGTGTTCTTATCCTCTTTGTCTGATTATGATTTAATTCATGTATTACTAGGGGGTAGCATTCCCCACATAATAAGCTCAACTGATTATGTAACCTTTGTACTGCATAATGCTATTTTTATTGACAAAATGTTGCTGTTGTATCAGCGTTAATAATGATATAACACGTACAAACGTAAGTACAATAGCAATGTCTAGCTAATTATTATTATTTTTTTCTCTCTTATTTTGTGTGTGTTTATGTGTGGGTAAGCCTGAGAAGACCTTGTTGGTAGGGCTTTCCCCAACCCTTGGAAACCTCAGGATTTCCAGGCATTCTAATTATTTTGTATGATTTGCTGTTCTTTCTGTATTTACTAAACTAATTCAAGTTTCATTAACTTCTCTCTTCATCTCTGTAGTTAACTAATGTACTTATGTGCATGTAAGTATCAATTAATAATATTTGATTTGTACTTTGACTACACTGTATATTTTTGTAACTCTTCAATTTGGAGGAAATAAAGAAATAATAATCTCCCCGGCACCTCTATATCCCGGCTTTAGACTGCAAACCTGTACATCATACTCCCCTCACCTCTATATCCCGGCTTTAGACTACATACCTGTACATCAAACTCCCCGCCAGCACCTCTAGATCTCGGCTTTAGACTACATACCTGTACATCATGCTACCCTCCAGCACCTCTATATCCCGGCTTTAGTCTACATACCTGTACATAATACTCCCTCCAGCACCTCTATATCCCGGCTTTAGACTACATACCTGTACATCATACTTCTCTCCAGCACCTCTAGATCCCGGCTTAAGACTACATACCTGTACATCATACTCCCCTCCGGCACCTCTAGATCCCGGTACTTCTGCACTGTACTGTGTTTAATAAAGCAATATGTATGATATAACAATAAATTGGAATCAAACTGTAGAATAGAAAAGATAAAGGATATTAACGTCACATCTCCAGCACACACGCAGGCATACACACATAAGGAGATATTAGCCAGGTGGCATAGGGCTAGTAGTTAGCGCCTGATAAGGCAGCTCCTGCAAATTCATCAAAATTGTATTGATAAATGTATATGTTTTTTTGTATTCATTGTACTTATATGTACTGTAAGGCGCTTTAGAGTGGCTTATATTAGCTAGATAGGGCGCAATATCAAATATTGTATAAACATTGTTTTATTTTAAAATTGTGCACCCATTTAAATCATTGATTGAAGTAGAGGTCACCTTTCGGTCGCCTCCAGTTTATTCTTATTGTTAACAATGTCTTCCGTTTGTTTTTTGTCTTTGTTTTGGTTGATACCTTCACCTTTTTTCTAAAATCATGCAAACTCTCGTGGTGTGCCCTATCGATGCAATACAAAAGGGCAGCTCCTATAACATATCATGTTTTTTTCGATTCAACGCAAATCATAGAAACATGGGCCCCCATTTTTGATATTTGAATTTAATTAGAGCGTAGCACCCGAGCGACCACATGCGTGCGTAAAGAGTAACCGACCTTGCTCTACGTTGCCCTTATTTTATCAGTCATTAGCAAAACATGAAGTAAACAGATACACGTACAACACATACACGTACAACAAATACACGTACAACACATACACGTACAACACATACACGTAAAACACATACACGTACAACACATACACGTATGACACATACACGGATGACACATACACGGACAACACATACACGTACAACATATACACGTACAACATAAACTCGTACAACACATACACGTACAATACATACACGTACACATGAAGTAAACAGATACACGTACAACACATACACGTACAACAAATACACGTACAACATATACAGGTACAACATATACACGTACAACACATACACGTACATCACATACACGTACAACACACAAAAGTACCACACATACACGTATAACACATACACGTACAACAAAGACACGTACAACACATACACGTACAACACATACACGTATGACTCATCCACGTATGACACATACACGTACAACACATACACGTATGACACATACACGGATGACACATACACGGACAACACATACACGTACAACATATACACGTACAACATAAACGCGTACAACACATACACGTACAATACATACACGTACACATGAAGTAAACAGATACACGTACAACACATACACGTACAACATATACATGTACAACAAATACACGTACAACATATACAGGTACAACATATACACGTACAACACATACACGTACATCACATACACGTACAACACACACACGTACCACACATACACGTATAACACATACACGTACAACAAAGTCACGTACAACAAAGACACGTACATCACATACACGTACAACACACAAAAGTACCACACATACACGTATAACACATACACGTACAACTCATCAACCAATACATGTACAACACATACAGGTACAACACCTACACGAACAACACACACACGTACCACACATACACGTATAACACATACACGTACAACAAAGACACGTACAACACATACACGTACGACACATACCCGTATGACACATACACGTACAACACATACACGTATGACACATACACGGATGACACATACACGGACAACACATACACGTACAACATATACACGTACAACATAAACTCGTACAACACATACACGTACAATACATACACGTACACATGAAGTAAACAGATACACGTACAACACATACACGTACAACATATACACGTACAACATAAACTCGTACAACACATACACGTACAATACATACACGTACACATGAAGTAAACAGATACACGTACAACACATACACATACAACAAATACACGTACAACACATACACGTACATCACATACACGTACAACACACAAAAGTACCACACATACACGTATAACACATACACGTACAACAAAGACACGTACAACAAAGACACGTACATCACATACACGTACAACACACAAAAGTACCACACATACACGTATAACACATACACGTACAACAAAGACACGTACAACAAAGACACGTACAACACATACACGTACGACACATACCCGTATGACACATACACGTACAACACATACACGTATGACACATACACGTACGACACATACACGTAAAACACATACACGTACAACACATACACGTACCACACATACACGTACAACAAATACACGTACAACATATACAGGTACAACACATACATGTACAACACATACAGGCACAACACATACACGTACAACACACACACGTACCACACATACACGTATAACACATACACGTACAACTCATCAACCAGGTTATGACAATTTTTCTAACTGGAGATACATTCAAAAAGAGTCAGCATTATGATAAAGGGTTTACATCCTCAATTATATTATTTCACTGCTAGAATTTCATCCGCTTTTGATTTCAATTTGCTGAGAATAATAAAACATGAACGAAATAATAACCCCTTTCAGAGTCTTGAAATAGTCTTTACGCAATTTATTCTTACATTTCCACTTATAAAAGAAACAATTGATAATGCGTTTATTGCGAAATCAACGAGATTAGACGCCATTTTATAGGCAACGTGATACGTTTTCACAATGTCTGCCGATTAATAACTAGTAACCAACAGAAACCGTTTTATTTTCTTCGGCGTACTTACCTGTAACACCTCGGTAACTATAACAGAATTTGAAGTTCGACCCAATGTTTCAGGGTCAAGGAACAGGAATTAAAGCTATATATCATTAGTTATACAGGTCTTTGGCAGGGTACGCCGAAGGCGAAGGGTACATAAGGTCCTGACAGCAAACATATAATCGCTATCGCACCGGCGCTTTATAAAATTGGCTGTTGCCGTCAAACGTTCTTGTGACCATCACGGTTTGAAAACGAAGCGGTGAAAAATGGCCACTGTGAAGAACCCGGAACGAACATTTTTCGCGCATGTGATATTTTTCTCTGTCTCATTGCAATATAACCCGCGCCCTTTAAAATCAATGTAGTTTCGGAGGGTGACAGATATTTTTGTTTAATTTTCTACCAACCAATCAAATAGCTAGAAATTCACTTGAGGTGTAACAACATTATAAAGATTAATAACTGGAGGTTCTTATATACCGCTTTATCACAATATAGCTCGTAGGTCGTCTCAAAGCGGTTCACAAATTAGTATCCGTGGTTATAGGGCCAGCCAATACCTTTCTCAACTCCCTGGGGAGCATACAGCCGGCGCTGCCATTTCGGCGCTCACAGCTAGCATTCAACAATTCTAGCGTCCTACCACTAGACTACCGTGCCTCCGATAGTAATGATTTAGTTTTGGTTTCATCTGTGATGCTAGACGACGTCGTCGCTCTCACACATATATTTTGCACTATAATTCTTGGAGGAATGTCTTAATTTTAATGAAACTATGTATGCATCTCTAAAGTATCAATTACCCGTTTAAGTACGATGTGAACTCAACGGCTCTCACAGCGATATTGTAGTATGTAAACATTCCGAAGGTTTCCGTACGGTAAACTTAAGTAATACTCTGAATTTCTGCACATGCCTATAAGATTGATAGCACCTGATCCAAATCTGAAAATAATATGGTCGTCAGCGGGGCAGCAGCCACGCCCATTTTCATTGAATGTACCGTTTTGAGGGCTTGCACAAAATCCATTGCAATATCCGTCTTACAAATATGTGTCTAATGAAAAGGTCAGTAAATGGCAGTACATTGATATACAAACACTCAAATGTTACGGCAATACTTTCTATCCTTTCGCGATGAGCTTGTAGGTCAGGAAACTAAAATGTACCTTTTCGAACATTGTCCTGGTTCTTTGCCAGCCAATGTAGTTACTCCGGACCCACTTCTGAGCGCTGGTTAAGGCGAGGGCGGTCAGGTCGGGATGCTCTGTGTTAGACAGACCATCTATCCACACGTGCTGGAGGGGAGGCCAGACATTGGGAAAGTCCCACTGTTGACCCGTCTGGTCCAGGGAAGTGGGCACTCCGCCCTCGTACTCCACCTCGTTCTGTGAAACAGAGGATCAAAGTCACCTTTTTATAAATGATTAAGTAGGTCACACATGTTTATGTCTCGGTGAATTCTATGTCAAATGTAATGGAAGGTAGTCACGAGACTAAACACAGGAACTGTTAATTTGTTTATTGTCGCCTTTCGCAAATCTGAATGTGCTGCAGTACGAAATAAAGTACATTTAACATCTCATTTGTACATGATATGCGAAATGAAGAAGTTTTTATTAGTATTGCTTAACACAAGCATGTTACCTTTATTACGGTACCTCAAGTGAACCAATGTAAGCTGTATACATAAACGTTGCACATCTTATTTCTTACGTTAAGTCAAACTGACCATGAACCTGTGTAGTTAGAACCACTATAATTAACAAAATACCTGTCTAAGGCTGAACTAGATAACAGAGAGCAGTACTGAACAGTCGTTATTGTTATCATACAACTACTCGGAAAACTGTCGTTATTGTTATCATACAACTACTCGGAAAACAGTCGTTATTGTTATCATACAACTACTCGGATAGCAGTCGTTATTGTTATCATACAACTACTCGGAAAACAGTCGTTATTGTTATCATACAACTACTCGGAAAACAGTCGTTATTGTTATCATACAACTACAATGAAAACAGTCGTTATTGTTATCATACAACTACAATGAAAACAGTCGTTATTGTTATCATACAACTACTCGGAAAGCAGTCGTTATTGTTATCATACAACTATAATGAAAACAGTCGTTATTGTTATCATACAACTACTCGGAAAACAGTCGTTATTGTTATCATACAACTACAATGAAACAGTCGTTCTTGTTATCATACAACTACTCGGAAAACAGCCGTTATTGTTATCATACAACTACTCGGAAAGCAGCCGTTATTGTTATCATACAACTACTCGGAAAACAGCCGTTATTGTTATCATACAACTACTCGGAAAGCAGCCGTTATTGTTATCATACAACTACTCGGAAAACAGCCGTTATTGTTATCATACAACTACTCGGAAAGCAGCCGTTATTGTTATCATACAACTACTCGGAAAACAGCCGTTATTGTTATCATACAACTACTCGGAAAGCAGCCGTTATTGTTATCATACAACTACTCGGAAAACAGCCGTTATTGTTATCATACAACTACTCGGAAAGCAGCCGTTATTGTTATCATACAACTACTCGGAAAACAGCCGTTATTGTTATCATACAACTACTCGGAAAGCAGCCGTTATTGTTATCATACAACTACTCGGAAAGCACTCGTTATTGTTATCATACAACTACTCGGAAAACAGCCGTTATTGTTATCATACAACTACAATGAAAACAGTCGTTATTGTTGTCATAGTTTTTGAAATTCTAGTTTCGATGGCACAGAATATTTTTCGAAGCTTTACGGTGGGCATTAACATGATACAAGTTAAAACTACAGGTTTTTATGTGTATATGTAACTGATATTCTGATATTGTAACCGCGAAACCGCTTATATTATACAGTGCGAAAGGTCCATGCTAAACAATACGATGAGCTATGACAGGGTATGGTATGACAGAATATGACGGGGTAGACCGGAATTTGAAGGAATTTGACGGGATGTGATGGACTATAACGGATATTTTACCTTGATATAAGAATTCGCAGCAGATAGCTGGCGTTTGAATGTTTGACTGTCCTCGTCACCACAGTCGACAAACAGAGGGAATACGTTGGAGGCATAAAAGCGTGTCCTGGATTTATTTTGACTGTGAGAGAAGTCGAACCACATGCCAGCATTCTTGTCCCACAGGATAGAATTGATCGCTCTACGGCGACTCTTGTGCCTCTCAGCATAGTACTCTGCTTTAGATGCATCGCCTGCCAATCAATTTCAATTTCGTATAAGTAACTGAACACTAAAGACTTAAAACTTGATAGATATTAAATACAGAAACTGTTTACATTTTACATCATTATATGACACGCATACTTATTTTAGCGATGACAATATTTTGGTGTTTCAAGCGCCTATTAGGGAGCGCTGACATTTGATAACTTTTGAATATAAAAACACGTATTTTTGCATGTTGGATACACGTAAGCTAGGTCACGATGTAAGCTAGGTCACGAATGTAAGCTAGGTCACGATGTTATGTAAGGTAGGTCATGATGTAAGCTAGGTCACGAATGTAAGCTAGGTCACGATGTTATGTAAGGTAGGTCATGATGTAAGCTAGGTCACGATGTAAGCTAGGTCACGATGTTAGCTAGGTCACGATGTTATGTAAGGTAGGTCATGATGTAAGCTAGGTCACGATGTAAGCTAGGTCACGATGTTATGTAAGGTAGGTCATGATGTAAGCTAGGTCACGATGTAAGCTAGGTCACGAATGTAAGCTAGGTCACGATGTTATGTAAGGTAGGTCATGATGTAAGCTAGGTCACGATGTAAGCTAGGTCACGATGTTAGCTAGGTCACGATGTTATGTAAGGTAGGTCATGATGTAAGCTAGGTCACGATGTAAGCTAGGTCACGATGTTATGTAAGGTAGGTCATGATGTAAGCTAGGTCACGATGTAAGCTAGGTCACGAATGTAAGCTAGGTCACGATGTTATGTAAGGTAGGTCATGATGTAAGCTAGGTCACGATGTAAGCTAGGTCACGATGTTAGCTAGGTCACGATGTAAGCCAGGTCACGATGTAAGCTAGGTCACGATGTTATGTAAGCTAGGTCAGGATGTAAGCTAGGTCACGATGTAAGCCAGGTCACGATGTAAGCTAGGTCACGATGTAAGCCAGGTCACGATGTAAGCCAGGTCACGATGTAAGGTAGGTCATGATGTAAGCTAGGTCACGATGTAAGCTAGGTCACGATGTAAGCCAGGTCACGATGTAAGCTAGGTCACGATGTAAGCTAGGTCACGATGTAAGCTAGGTCACGATGTAAGCTAGGTCACGATGTAAGCTAGGTCACGATGTAAGCTAGGTCACGATGTAAGCTAGGTCACGATGTAAGCTAGGTCACGATGTAAGCTAGGTCACGATGTAAGCTAGGTCACGATGTAAGCTAGGTCACGATGTAAGCTAGGTCACGATGTAAGCTAGGTCACGATGTAAGCTAGGTCACGATGTAAGCTAGGTCACGATGTAAGCTAGGTCACGATGTAAGCTAGGTCACGATGTAAGCTAGGTCACGATGTAAGCTAGGTCACGATGTAAGCCAGGTCATGATGTAAGCTAGGTCACGATGTAAGCTAGGTCACGATGTAAGCTAGGTCACGATGTAAGCCAGGTCACGATGTAAGCCAGGTCACGATGTAAGCTAGGTCATGATGTAAGCTAGGTCACGATGTAAGCTAGGTCATATTGTAAGCCAGGTCACGATGTAAGCCAGGTCACGATGTAAGCCAGGTCACGATGTAAGCTAGGTCACGATGTAAGCCAGGTCACGATGTTGGCTAGGTCACGATGTAAGCTAGGTCACGATGTAAGCCAGGTCACGATGTTGGCTAGGTCACGATGTAAGCCAGGTCTCGATGTAAGCTAGGTCACGATGTAAGCCAGGTCTCGATGTAAGCTAGGTCACGATGTAAGCCAGGTCACGATGTAAGCTAGGTCACGATGTAAGCCAGGTCTTGATGTTAGCTAGGTCATGATGTAACAATGGGGAGCAATGTCGGCGTAAATTTCATTGTGATTCGGAGTCTATAAAGGTATCAATTACTCGATATTTATTTTCCTGTGGCTTATATTAAAAAAAATAAAGAATAAAAACTAAACCAAAATTGATCTGCTTCCCCTTCACAACATTTGGAACCTTGTTCGTGTCCTACCTCCCTAGGCACCGTCCTCCTATGACCCTTGCTATGGGAGGACGTTGAATCCTGATGAAAAATGCCATCTGGATGTTATCGATTTGTGTTCAAGACAGCTTTCAATTTTAAATAAAAGCTGCGTTCAACATTGAAGATCGTCCTAGTTTTGGGATTTTTCTATCACAGTTATTGGTGGTGTCTACGTCATGTATTCATTATTATAACGGCTGCGTATAATTAGGTTTTAATATTGTTTGTTCAGGCTTGACGGCCCCTGTACACACGAAGGTCATTTGCCTGAGTTACTCTTCTACATTTTAGACATACAAATGAGACATGGTGACGTATTCGGTCCTACCAAGGAGAGTGTAAAAATCTGCCAATATTCTTTCATTCCAACAGAGGATAGAGTTGAGATCAACGGGTATGATGTCCTTGGTGTTGGTCATTCGGAGTCCCTCGTTGTTAACCGTGGTATTGCCACTCGAATGTGAATCCGAGAACCATCGGGAGGAGAAATCCCAGCCAGACTCACATGCCGAGACGAGATTTGAGTACAGCTCCAAACTGTCCTCTTTGTACATGCAAGAAGAAGAATGCACATTTGGATACGTTTCTTGTCAGAAAATAAATTATAGGCTAATCAATATCGCTGAGCTGAGTCTATTCATTTCTTAGAATGTAAAATATCTGAACAGTTAAAATAGGAAAGGAATAGACAACAACGCCGACACAAAAGGGTTATTCTTGAAATTTTATACGAAAAGACAACTATATATGTGTTCCCTGGATAGCAAACGTCTCCAACACAATGGACCTTTCACAATGTCTGCCATCAGATATAATAATCAGCATAAAGACTGATGTTCAGGTAACTTATTATCCTACCTATTTACAAAGTACTGTATCAAACTGTTGTTTTGTTCCTACTGCTGTCTCTATATTTACATTCGCATGGTATTGTCACCAGATAACCTACACGAAAGCTGTGTCGTCGATGAGACTTAATAAAACAGCCACCACGAGACACAATTCTTAGCCAATCATCGACAATATGTTGTTCCAGTTATTGAAGAAATGTGTGCAGATTGTCGAGAAGGCGGGATTTTTAATTTTTAGATATAATATGTAAGTTAAAAAAATTGAAAGACGGACGTTATGTTGTTTGCTTGCACAGCTGTGTCATTCAAACATATCATAAATGCCATACAATGATGAAAATGATGATGATGACAAAAACAGTTGAATGCTTGAATATACACCACCTTAGATAAATACAAACCTGGAGACAACCCCTCTGTGGTAGCCAAGTCCTCTATGTAGGATTCTGGCCTGTAAATATAAGAAGAAGAGCTTTTGTTATACGCTTTGGCAGGTTTCATCGGTGATGGTAAAAATTGTGAGACACACAAAGTTTTTATAGGTTATTTATCTGTTTGTTGGTGCTGGCACCGTGACGAATGAATCACTTTAGATGTTTCTCAATAAATCCCCACGGCCTAAACAGCCGAAACAGCCCCCTTTATTCATCAAGAAATGTTAGGTGACAGCCATAAGATCCCCTGTCAATTTTGTGAAGGTATCCGCATATGACCTGTACACAATTTGGTCAAAACATTTCCCTCTTACGGGATTTGGCTGGGTTTTCGAAACGCAGGTCAAGAGAAAATTACCCTCCCCGCTTTCCCCGACGTTTCCATTGGTCCTTTAGTCTCGGGGTCCGCGATTGCAGTAAAGTAAATATCACCTGTTTGGTTGATGAATCTAGATATCGTTATTAACCATGCTAACCTTTGCGCAGCCATGTCCACGGCGTATCTAGATATCATTATTAACCATGCTAACCTTGGAGCAGCCATGTCCACGGCGTATCTAGATATCGTTATTAACCATGCTAACCTTGGCGCAGCCATGTCCACGGCGTATCTAGATATCGTTATGAACCATGCTAACCTTGGCGCAGCCGTGTCCACGGCGTATCTAGATATCGTTATTAAACATGCTAACCTTGGCGCAGCCATGTCCACGGCGTATCTAGATATCGTTATTAAACATGCTAACCTTGGCGCAGCCATGTCCACGGCGTATCGTGCCAGGGAGTAAGTCTCATATCCTCTCCTCATATCTACTGATCTATTGTCTCTCCAGAACTGGTACTCCTTTTCCATGGTTGCGATGTTGTCCCGGACGAAGGCTTTATCCCCGGTACTCCGGTAGTACTCGTGTACCATGGGTATAAACATGGGGGGCTGGGATCGTCTCAAGTAGTACACCCGGCCACCATTAGGGACATGTCCCACACTAGGAATGAAATATACATATACACTTTGAAATACGGCACCATGTTATTTTTCTTTAACCTGTTCAACATAACGATGAGTATAATGCTCCGATTGGAAAACACAAACCTGTAATAGTTACTGCGTCGTGCTTTCACGACAACAGTTTTGAGTTGGTTTATTTAAGGGTTATACCACGGAAATAGAAATCTTTGAAGAAAAAACCCTTTACACGTTACATAAATTGCCGGTCACAAAGTTGCGCATTCGCACGAATGCGTTATTTAGGTTTCTTGGCGACATGTAAACATTAACAAAGGTGTAAACCTCTGTACGAGAGCTGAAACCAGTTACCAACCGGGGATTGATTGGGTGTTCAAACCAAGCCCACGTTACTGGTGTATACAATGTACTACTCGCTGTTCTCTGAGCCCCACGTTACTGGTTTATACACTGTACTACTCGCTGTCACTGAGCCACACATTACTGGTTTATACACTGTACTACTCGCTGTTCTCTGAGCCCCACGTTACTGGTTTATACACTGTACTTCTCGCTGTTCTCTGAGCCACACATTACTGGTTTATACACTGTACTACTCGCTGTCACTGAGCCCCACGTTACTGGTTTATACACTGTACTTCTCGCTGTTCTCTGAGCCACACATTACTGGTTTATACACGGTACTACTCGCTGTTATCTGAGCCACACGTTACTGGTTTATACACGGTACTACTCGCTGTTATCTGAGCCACACGTTACTGGTTTATACACTGTACTACTCGCGGTTCTCAGAGCCCCACGTTACTGGTTTATACACGGTACTACTCGCTGTTATCTGAGCAACACGTTACTGGTTTATACACGGTACTACTCGCTGTTATCTGAGCCCCACGTTCCTGGTTTATACACTGTACTACTCGCGGTTCTCTGAGCCCCACGTTACTCGTTTATACACTGTACTACTCGCGGTTCTCTGAGTCGCACGTTACTGGTTTATACACTGTACTACTCGCGGTTCTCTGAGCCACACGTTACTGGTTTATACCCTGTACTACTCGCGGTTCTCTGAGCCCTACGTTACTGGTTTATACACTGTACTACTCGCGGTTCTCTGAGCCCCACGTTACTGGTTTATACACGGTACTACTCGCTGTTCTCTGAGCCACACGTTACTGGTTATACACGGTACTACTCGCTGTTATCTGAGCCACACGTTACTGGTTTATACACTGTACTACTCGCTGTCACTGAGCCCCACGTTACTGGTTTATACACTGTACTACTCGCGGTTCTCTGAGCCCCACGTTACTGGTTTATACACTGTACTACTCGCTGTTCTCTGAACCACACGTTACTGGTTTATACACTGTACTACTCGCTGTCATCTGAGCCCCACGTTACTGGTTTATACACTGTACTACTCGCTGTCATCTGAGCCCCACGTTACTGGTTTATACACTGTACTACTCGCTGTTTGAATTGTCTGCTCACCCTCGATGTGTGACATATTTGCGATTTTAATTGTATTTCATATAAAACTTTTTTTCCAAAATCTTAATGACTTTGTGAAATTCGTATCGCATGGTTGTATTGTGTTCGATAAGTATCATGATATTGAGTCCATCCGAAATAGGTAAGCTAGGAACATGTACTTGAAAACGTTGCTAGCCTAATTTTCGAAATTGTTATCTTAATAGTCCATGTTAAAACAGTCATACAATCGGCAAGTGTGTCGAGAGAACGTGAGAGAAACTGAATTGCTGTCTAGGAGAATTAATACATATAGTACTACAATTGGTGCAGCAGAAGGCACTTGTACATCTCCGTCCTCTTAACACTTGTACACCTCCGTCCTCTGAACACTTGTACACCTCCGTCCTCTTAACACTTGTACACCTCCGTCCTCTTAACACGTGTACACCTCCGTCCACTTAACACGTGTACACCTTCGTTCTCTTAACACGTGTACACCTCCGTCCTCTTAACACTTGTTCACCTCCGTCGACTTAACACTTGTACACTCCGTCCTCTTAACACTTGTACACCTCCGTCCTCTTAACACGTGTACACCTCCGTCCTCTTAACACTTGTACACCTCCGTCCCCTTAACACGTGTACACCTTCGTTCTCTTAACACGTGTACCCCTCCGTCCTCTTAACACGTGTACACTCCCGTCCTCTTAACATGTGTACACATCCGTCCTCTAAACACTTGTACACCTCCGTCATCTTAACACTTGTATACCTCCGTCCTCTTAACACGTGTACACCTCCGTCCTCTGAACACTTGTACACCTCCGTCCTCTGAACACTTGTATACCTCCGTCCTCTGAACACTTGTACACCTCCGTCCTCTGAACACTTGTACACCTCCGTCCTCTGAACACTTGTATACCTCCGTCCTCTGCACACTTCTACACCTCCGTCCTCTGAACACTTGTACACCTCCGTCCTCTGAACACGTGTATACCTCCGTCCTCTGAACACTTGTACACCTCCGTCCTCTAAACACTTGTATACCTCCGTCCTCTGAACACTTGTGAACCTCCGTCCTCTTAACACTTTTAAACCTCCGTCCTCTTAACACGTGACACCTCCGTCCTCTTAACACTTGTACCCCTCCATCCTCTTAACACTTGTACACCTTCATCCTCTTAACACTTGTACACCTCCGTCCTCTCAACACTTGTACACCCACGTCCTCTTAACACTTGTACACGTCCGTCCTCTTAACACGTGTACACCTCCGTCCTCTTAACACTTGTACGCCTCCGTCCTCTTAACACGTGTATACCTCCGTCCTCTGAACACGTGTACACCTCCGTCCTCTTAACACTTGTACACCTTCGTCCTCTTAACACTTGTACACCTCCATCATCTTAACACTTGTACACCTTCATCCTCTTAACACTTGTACACCTCCGTCCTCTCAACACTTGTACACCCACGTCCTCTTAACACGTGTACACCTCCGTCCTCTTAACACTTGTACGCATCCGTCCTCTTAACACGTGTATACCTCCGTCCTCTTAACACTTGTACACCTCAATCCTCTTAACACTTGTACACCTTCATCCTCTTAACACTTTTACACCTACGTCCTCTTAACACTTGTACACCTCCGTCCTCTTAACACTTGTACACCTCCATCCTCTTAACACGTGTACACATCCGTTCTCTTAACACTTGTACACCCACGTCCTCTTAACACGTGTACACATCCGTCCTCTTAACACTTGTACACCTCCGTCCTCTTAACACTTGTACTCCTCCGTCCTCTTAACACTTGTACACCTCCGTTCTCTTAACACTTTTACACCCCGTCCTCTTAACATTTGTACACCACCATCCACTTATTACGTGTACACCTCCGTCCTCTTAACACTTATACACCTCCGTCCTCTAAACACTTGTACCCCTCCGTCCTCTTAACACTTGTACACGTCCGTCCTCTTAACACTTGTCCACCTCCGTCCTCTTAACTCGTGTACACCTCCGTCCTCTTAACACTTGTACACCTCCGTCCTCTTAACACATGTATACGTCCGTCCTCTTAACACTTGTAAACCTCCGTCCTCTTAACACTTGTACACCTCCGTCCTCTTAACACTTGTACACGTCCGTCCTCTTAACACTTGTCCACCTCCGTCCTCTTAACTCGTGTACACCTCCGTCCTCTTAACACTTGGACACCTCCGTCCTCTGAACACATGTATACGTCCGTCCTCTTAACACTTGTACACCTCCGTTCTCTTAACACTTTTACACCCCGTCCTCTTAACATTTGTACACCACCATCCACTTATCACGTGTACACCTCCGTCCTCTTAACACTTATACACCTCCGTCCTCTAAACACTCGTACACCTTCGTCCTCTTAACACTTGTACACGTCCGTCCTCTTAACACTTGTCCACCTCCGTCCTCTTAACTCGTGTACACCTCCGTCCTCTTAACACTTGGACACCTCCGTCCTCTGAACACATGTATACGTCCGTCCTCTTAACACTTGTACACCTCCGTTCTCTTAACACTTGTACACCTCCGTCCTCTAAACACTTGTACACCTCCGTCATCTTAACACGTGTACACCTCCGTCCTCTTAACACTTTTACACCCCGTCCTCTCAACACGTGTACACCTCCGTCCTCTTTACACTTTTACAACTCCGTCCTCTTAAAACTTGTACACCTCCGTCCTCTTAACACGTGTACACCTCCGTCCTCTTAACACTTGTACACCTCCGTTTTCTTAACACGTGTACACCTCCGTCGTCTTAACACGTGAACACCTCCGTCCTCTTAACACTTGTACACCTCCGTCCTCTTAACACGTGTACACCTCCGTCCTCTCAACACTTGTACACCTCCGTTTTCTTAACACGTGTACACCTCCGTCGTCTTAACACGTGAACACCTCCGTCCTCTTAACACTTGTACACCTCCATCCTCTTATAACGTGTACACCTCCGTCCTCTTAACACTTATACACCTCCGTCCTTTAAACACTTATACACCTCCGTCCTCTTAACACTTGTACACGTCCGTTCTCTTAACACTTGTCCACCTCCGTCCTCTTTACACTTGTATACCTCCGTCCTCTCTAAACTTGTAAACCTCCGTCCTCTTAACACTTGTACACCTCCGTACTGTTAACACTTTTACAACCCCGTCCTCTTAACACGTGTACACCTCCGACCTCTTAACACATGTACACCTCCGTCCTCTTAACACTTGTGAACCTCCGTCCTCTTAACACTTTTAAACATCCGTCCTCTTAACACGTGTATACCTCAGTCCTCTTAACAGGTGTACACCTCCGTCCTCTTAACACTTTTAAACCTCCGTCCTCTTAACACGTGTACACCTCCCGTCCTCTTAACATGTGTACACCTCCGTCCTCTCAACAATTGTACACCTCCGTCATATTAACACTTGTACACCTTCATCCTCTTAACCCTTGTACTCCTCCGTCCTCTTAACACTTGAACAACTCCGTCCTCTTAACACTTGTCCACCTCCGTCCTGTTAACACTTGTACACCTCCGCCCTGTTAACACTTTTACACCCACGTCCTCTTAACACGTGTACACCTCCCGTCCTCTTAACATGTGTACACCTCCGTCCTCTTAACAATTGTACACCTCCGTCATCTTAACACTTGTACACCTTCATCCTCTTAACACTTGTACTCCTCCGTCCTCTTAACACTTGTACACCTCCGTCCTGTTAACACTTGGACACCTCCGTCCTGTTAACACTTTTACACCCACGTCCTCTTAACACGTGTACACTCCCGTCCTCTTAACATGTGTACACCTCCGTCCTCTAAACACTTGTGCACCTCCGTCATCTTAACACTTGTATACCTCCGTCCTCTTAACACGTGTACACCTCCGTCCTCTGAACACTTGTACACCTCCGTCCTCTTAATACTTGTACACCTCCGTCCTCTGAACACTTGTACACCTCCGTCCTCTGAACACGTGTACACCTCCGTCCTCTAAACACTTGTACACCTCCGTCCTCTGAACACTTGTATACCTCCGTCCTCTGAACACTTGTAAACCTACGTCCTCTGAACACTTGTACACCTCCGTCCTCTGAACACTTGTACACCTCGTCCTCTGAACACTTGTACACCTCCGTCCTCAGAACACTTGTACACGTCCGTCCTCGTAACACGTGAACACCTCCGTCCTCTGAACACTTGTACACCTCCGTCCTCTTAGCACTTGTACACCTCCGTCGTCTTAACACGTGAACACCTCCGTCCTCTTAACACTTGTACACCTCCGTCCTCTAAACACTTATACACCTCCGTCCTCTTAACACTCTCTTAAAACTTGTACACCTCCGTCATCTTAACACTTGTACACCTCCGTCATCTTAACACTTGTACACCTCCATCCTCTTAACACTTGTACACCACCATCCTCTTATAACGTGTACACCTCCGTCCTCTTAACACTTATACACCTCCGTCCTCTAAACACTTATACACCTCCGTTCTCTTAACACTTGTACACGTCCGTTCTCTTAACACTTGTCCACCTCCGTCCTCTTTACACTTGTATACCTCCGTCCTCTCTACACGTGTACACCTCCGTCCTCTTAACACTTGTGAACCTCCGTCCTCTTAACACTTTTAAACCTCCGTCCTCTTAACACATGTATACCTCCGTCCTCTTAAAAGGTGTACACCTCCGTCCTCTTAACAATTGTGAAACTCCGTCCTCTTAACACCTTTAAACCTCCGTCCTCTTAACACGTGTACACCTCCGTCCTCTTAACACTTGTACACCTCCATCCTCTTAACACTTGTACACCTCCGTCCTCTTAACACTTGTACACCTCCATCATCTTAACACTTGTACACCTTCATCCTCTTAACACTTGTACACATCCGTCCTCTTAACACTTGTACACCTCCGTCCTCTTAACACTTGTACACCTCCGTCCTCTTAACACTTGTACACCTCCGTCCTATTAACACTTGTACGCCTCCGTCCTCTTAACACGTGTATACCTCCGTCCTCTTAACACTTGTACAACTCAATCCTCTTAACACTTTTACACCTTCATCCTCTTAACACTTGTACACCTACGTCCTCTTAACACTTGTACACCTCCGTCCTCTTAACACTTGTACACCTCCATCATCTTAACACGTGTACACATCCGTTCTCTTAACACTTGTACACCCACGTCCTCTTAACACGTGAACACATCCGTCCTCTTAACACTTGTACACCTCCGTCCTCTTAACACTTGTACACCTCCATCATCTTAACACGTGTACACATCCGTTCTCTTAACACTTGTACACCTCCGTCCTCTTAACACTTGTACACCACCATCCTCTTATTACGTGTACACCTCCGTCCTCTTAACACTTATACACCTCCGTCCTCTAAACACTTGTACCCCTCCGTCCTCTTAACACTTGTACACGTCCGTCCTCTTAACACTTGTCCACCTCCGTCCTCTTTACACGTGTATACCTCCGTCCTCTTAACACTTGTAAACCTCCGTCCTCTTAACACTTGTACACCTCCGTTCTCTTAACACTTGTACACCTCCGTCCTCTTAACACGTGTACACGTCCGTCCTCTTAATACTTGTACCCCTCCGTCCTCTTAACACTTGTACACGTCCGTCCTCTTAACACTTGTACACCTCCGTCCTCTTAACACTTGTCCACCTCCGTCCTCTTAACACTTGTACACCCCCGTCCTGTTAACACTTTTACACCCACGTCCTCTTAACAGGTGTACACCTCCGTCCTCTTAACACTTGTACACCTCCGTCCTCTTAATACGTATACACCTCCGTCCTCTTAACACGTGTACACCTCCGTCCTCCTAACACTTGTACACCCACGTCCTCTTAACAGTTGTATACCTCCGTCCTCTTAACACTTGTATACCTCCGTCCTCTTAACACTTTTACACCTCCGTCCTCTTAACACTTGTACACCTCCGTCCTCTAAACACTTATACACCTCCGTTCTCTTAACACTTGTACACCCACGCCCTCTTAACAGTTGTATACCTCCGTCCTCTTAACGCTTGTACACCTCCATCCTCTTAACACTTGTACCCCTCCGTCCTCTTAACACTTATACACCTCCGTTCTCTTAACACTTGTACACCTCCATCCTCTTAACACTTGTACACCTCCGTAAATGCTGGAGTCGGACGGAGCAGCCGACAGTAAATGCTGGAGGCGGACGTAACAGCCTACAGTAAATGCTTGAGTTGGACGTAACAGCCGACAGTTAATGCTGGAGGCGGACGGAACAGCCTACAGTAAATGCTGGAGGCGGACGGAACAGCCGACAGTAAATGCTGGAGTCGGACGGAGCAGCCGACAGTAAATGCTGGAGTCGGACGGAACAGCCGACAGTAAATACTGGAGTCTGACGGAACAGCCGACAGTAAATGCTGAAGTAGGACGGAACAGCCGACAGTAAATGCTGGAGTCGGACGGAACAGCCTACAGTAAATGCTGAAGGCGGACGTAACAGACTACAGTAAATGCTGGAGTCTGACGGAACAGACTACAGTAAATGCTGGAGTCGGACGGAACAGCCGACAGTAAATGCTGGAGTCGGACGGAACAGCCGATAGTTAATACTGGAGTCTGACGGAACAGCTTACAGTAAATGCTGGAGGCGGACGTAACAGCCTACAGTAAATGCTTGAGTCGGACGTAACAGCCGACAGTGACTTCATACCACCTTTGTTTATCTATGTCAATAACATTCTGACATACAAAGTTATTTTCATGTTGTAATTATTTGTAAAAATTAAATACTACTTACGTTTTAATCATAAAGGCAAAATTGTCCAGCATACCCTTGGCTGTTTCATTCATCTGGCAAACCAGCAGTCCTTTTATTATCCAGTAGGTATCCCTAAACAAGAAAACAACTAGGAGTCGGAATCTGACATGATCAGAAAGTCTGCCTTCACTAATACCTCTTTGTTATGTAAACTACTGCTCTCCCGATTATACCACTGTTACCATAGACAATAGCAATCTCAAGTATTTCATGATATTGTATCAATCTTTTTTAAACAATTGAGCCCAACAATTATAATAAAAGCAAATTAAAAAATACTTCCAGATAAATTTGTTGTTCACTGAAGTTAAAAAGTAATGATATGTGAATGATGGTATTCAATGAAATCCTAAGCTCGAGAATATATTAAACCAGACGAGAAACATCTCCCTAAATATAGTAGTAAGTCTCCCTTAATATAGTAAAAAGTCACCCTAAATATAGTACTAAGTCTCCCTAAATATAGAAGTAAGTCTCCCTTAATATAGTAGTAAGTCTCCCTTAATATAGTAGTAAGTCTCCTTAAATATAGTAGTAAGTCTCCCTAAATATAGTAGTAAGTCTCCCTAAATATAGTAGTAAGTCTCCCTAAATATAGTGGTAGTCTCCCTTGATATAGTAGTAAGTCTCCCTTAATATAGTAGTAAGTCTCCCTAAATATAGTAGTAAGTCTCCCTAAATATAGTAGTAAGTCTCCCTAAATATAGTAGTAAGTCTCCCTAAATATAGTAGTAAGTCTCCCTAAATATAGAAGTAAGTCTCCCTAAATATAGTAGTAAGTCTCCCTTGATATAGTAGTAAGTGTCCCTAAATATAGTAGTAAGTCTCCCTAAATATAGTAGTACGTCTCCCTAAATATAGTAGTAAGTCTCCCTAAATATAGAAGTAAGTCTCCTTTAATATAGTAGTAAGTCTCCCTAAATATAGTAGTAAGTCTCCCTTAATAAAGTAGTAAGTCTCCCTTAATATAGTAGTAAGTCTCCCTTAATATAGTAGTAAGTCTCCCTAAATATAGTAGTAAGTCTCCCTAAATATAGTAGTAAGTCTCCCTAAATATAGAAGTAAGTTTCCCTTAATATAGTAGTAAGTCTCCCTTGATATAGTAGTAAGTCTCCCTAA